AGCTATGATGCCATAGCACCATACCAAAGATGACAAAGTAAGACTTTGTCTCAAAAAAAAAAAAAAGATGTCAGCTGAGGCTGCAATCTTCAGAAGGCTTGGCTGGTGCTGGAGGACCCACTCCCCAGGTAGTTCACCCATGGGGCTGGTAAGTTAGAGCTGATTGTGGGCAGGGGTCTCAGTTCCTTACCATGTGGCCTGTCCATAGGGTTGCTTGAGCATCCTCATAGAGTGGTGTCAGCAAGGTCACATAACTCTAATGGCACATCCTGAGGCAAGAGTGCAGATGCAGAGCAGCAGAGAGCGAGTGTGACCAAAGCAGAGAGGCTGGGGGGGTGGGTGGAAGCTCAAAGGGCTTCGAAGGCCTCAAACTGGGCAAGGAGGGAGGAGGGAGAAAAGCACATCTGGGAGGTGGGGAGTGGGAAGGAGCCAGCACCAATGGGTTAGTAGTGCTAGAAGGACTGAGGACCCCTTGGAGTGAGAGCCATCCAGGGAGTAATGTGGGGCGGGGCACAGTGGCTTATGTCTGTCTCCTAGCACTCTGGGAGGTTGAGGCAGGTGGATTGCTTAAGCTCACAAACTAGAGACCAGCCTGAGCAAAAGTGAGACCCCGTCTCTACTTAAAAAATAGAAAAACTAGGGCAGCGCCTGTGGTTCAAAGTAGGGCGCCAGCCCCATATTCCGGAGGTGGCGAGTTCAAACTCAGCCTGGGTCAAAAACTGCAAAAAAAAAAAAAAAAAAACCAGAAAAACCAGTTACAAAACAGATGTTGTGGAAGGTGCCTGTAGTCCCAGATACTTGGGAGGCAGAGGCAAAAGGAGTGCTTGAGCCCAAGAGTTTGAAGTTGCTGTGAGCTATAACACCATAGCACTCTACCCAGAATGACAGAATGAGACTGTGTCTCAAAAATTAAAAAATCTGGCTCAGCACCTGAGGCTCAAGTGGCTAAGGTGCCAGCCACATACACCTCAAGTGGTAGGTTCGAATCCAGCCTGGGCCCGCCAAACAACAACGATGGCTGCAACCAAAAAAAAAAA